AGACATATCACACTGGGAGAATCTGTAGTTATGGGACTCTCCATATTATTGAGGATAAGTGATGCCATCTTGAGCACTAAATTACCATGGTCTTTTAAGTCACTTGCTATGCATCTGAGAACTAGATAATGAATAGAAATGACAAAAAATAAATTGATGCCCTGGAGTTACGTTGTTAGAGAAGAGTGCTAAAGATCTCACAGACTGCCAAAAGAACAAACAGACACGTCTTGGAGAAGGGGCAGCCAGCATGCTCTTTGGAGGCAAAGATAATAAAGCTTCATCTCACGTATGTAGGGTATGTTGCTAAGAGAAGTTATTCCTTGAAGAGGTACACCATGCTGGGGAAGGTGGAGGAAAGACCTTCCTTCCACCTTCCTTGAAAGAGAGGAAGACCCTCACCCAGATGAATTGACACAGTGACTGCAGCAGTGGCTTTGATTGTGTCAGAGGTTGTGCAGATGGGACAGAATAGGACAGGGTTTGATCCTGTTGTTTGTAGGGTTACTATGAGTCACACTTAACCTGATGGCACCTAACAACAATGAGTTGTTAACTGCTCGAACCAAACTACCTGGGCTTGGATTCTCACTCTACTTACTAGCTATGGGACTTTTGGTGAATTATTTAACTTTCCTATATATTTGTTTCCTTATCTGTTCAGGGTAATTCTTTTCCATCCTCAAGGCTGGTTTTTCAGATGTGAACTATCCGTCCTTTCTTCCAAGGTGTATCTGGGTAGACCTAAACTTCCGAACTGACAGAAACTGAGCATGTCATCTACTTGCAGTACTGAGTACCCTCACTATTACTGTAGGACATGGGACTCATTAACTCATTACCATTGACTTGGCTCTGACACACAGCAACTGTCCATCAGATTTCTGAGGCTGGGCATTTCAATGGATGGACACATCTTCCTCCCACTGTGCTACTGATGGATTAAAACTGCTAGAAAGGTCTAGCCTTTGGACTGACAGTGAATGTTTGATAAATTTAAACAATCACTTAATATTTGTGACTTGCATGAGTTTTTTATAAAAATATTTTATATTGATTTTCTATAAAGTTTATATACATTGTGTTTCACACTGTCCTTCATTCACATGGTGTTTCATACAATCCTTCCCATTCATTATATTTTATAAAATTAATCACCATTAGACTATGCCCCCCCCCCCATTGCCCTGTCTTTCCAGATCCCCACTGGATCTTTCTCATTTCCTTTACCCATTCATCCCTCCATCCATCAAATGGTGTGACCCTTTGATTTATTCCTTGCCTGTCCTTGCCCCTCCGATCATACCCTCCCCCCTCTTAGATCCTCATACACATTTTATTACTTACGCTTCTATTTCTCCAATAATGGTCTTATACAGTATTTGTCCTTATGGGACTGAGTTAGTTCACTCAGCATATTTCTTTCCAGTCCCTCCCAAGTTATGAAATAATCTTTTAAATTATTTCTCCAGAGTGCCACATAGTATCACATTGTGTGAATATGCCACAACTTCTCAGTCCATTGTAGTTGGACATTTGGGCTGTTTTTATTTTTCTTGCAATGGTGAATAACACTGCTATGAAGATAGATGTACAAATCTCTTTTTGTTTTTCAGTTTTAATTTTCTCAGGGTGTATTCCAAGAAGTGAAATAGCTGGGTCATCTGGAATTTCTATGTTCAGCTTTCTGAGAAAACATCAAAACTGCCTTCCAGCGTGGTTATGCCATTTTACAATCCCGCCAACAGTGTATGAGAATTCCTATCTCTCTGTATTCTCTCCAACATTTATTGCTTGCTGTCTTATTAAACTTGACTTGTATGTTTTTGTTGTTGTTTGGTGCCACCCAGTTGAATTTGACTCATAGCAACCCTATGAGTTTAGAGATGTAAAGCCTATACCATCCTGTGTCATCTTCATAATTTCTGACCTACTGGAGTCCATTGCAGCACTCATAATGTCACACCATCTGTTTAAAGATCTTCTTTCTTTAGCTGATCCTCCACCTTTCCAAGCATGATGTTCCTCTACGAAGAATAGGCTCTCCTAATAAAATTATATGAGGTGAAGCTTTGTCATCTTTGTCACCAGGGAGCACTCTGGCTGTACTTCCTACAAGATGTATCTATTTATTCTTTTGCAGTCTGTGAGATATTTAGTACCTTTTCCACCACCACAACTCCAAGGCATCAGTTTTTTCATTGTCCAGCTTTGAAATTCATGAGAAATTATTGAAAAGACCATGGCCTGAATCAGGCAGGCACACCTTAGTTCTCAAACTGGTGTAGTTCTCCTCAATAATTTGGAAAGATCTCTGACTGCAGACTTTCCCAATGAAATACATCTCCTTATCTCCTGACTGCAGGTACCAAGGGTGTTGATTATGGATTCAAAGAAGATTAAGTCATTCACAGTTTCAATCTTTTCTTCATCTATCATAAGGTTGTCTGTCAGTCCAGTGGTGAGAATTTTTGTTTTCTTGATGTTGAGATGTAATCCACTTAGAAGGCTGTACTCTTTGGTCTTCTTCAGTAAGTGCTTAAAGTCCTCACTTTCAGCAAGCAAAGTTGTGTCATCTGCATAATGCAGATTGCTGGTGAATCTTCCTGTGATCCTGATGCCATATTCTACTTCATAGAGTCCAGCTTCTTAGACAAGTTGCTCAGAATGCAGATTGAATAGGTATGGAGAGAGCATACCACCCTGACACACATCTTGCCTGATTTTAAATCATAAGGGAGCTATGATTTGCAGGCGAGTCAATGACACATAACAACAACGTTACCTTTCTCTTTTCTTACAACAGACTCATGATATGGGTATAGGTTTTACAGAAGCACAATTATGTTGTCTGGGATTTTCATTCTTCTCAATGTTAGCCATAATTTCCTTATGATCCACACAATCCAATACATTTGCATAGTCAAGAAAGCACAAATAGACATTCTTCTTGTATTTTTCTGCTTTCACTTAAGATGCATTTAATATCAGCCATAATATCCTTGGTATGACAATAGTAATTTGTGTTTATTAAAGAAAATCTTTGCAATAAATAAATCATTGCCCATGCAAAACTCAATCCTATGATTTCCAGACTCTTTTCTATCACCAGATCTGTACTCTCCAAATACCATTATTTTTTCATTGTTTCCAACTTTTGCATTCCAGCCACCAATTATCATTAACACATCTTGATTGCATGTTTTGTCAATTTTGAACTGCAAATTTGGTAAAAAATTTTCAGTTTCCTCCTTTTTGGCTTTAGCTGTTAGTGCATATATTTAAATGATAGCCGTATGAACAGCTCTTCTTTTTATGTGCATGGATAATATCCTACCACTCATAACGTTGTACTTCAGGATAGAGTTTGAAATTGTCTTTTTAACTGTGAATGCAGTATAATTCTTCTGTTTTTCATTCCCAGGATAGTATAGCATGTGATTATTTAATTCAAAGTCACCAATGCCAATTCATCTCATTTCACTAATGCCTAAAATGTAAATGTTCATTCACTCCATTTTTGACAACTTCTGGTTTTCTTTCATTCTTAACATGCTTATTCCATGTTCTAACTATTAAAAGATGTTTACAACTGTTTCTTCTCATTTTGACTGACTGACTTCCAATTTGGGCTCTACCTCTAATACTGTAACTATTTGTTCCTCTTTTGTTTAAAGGGTTTTTAGAAGCCTACTGTTTCAAAAGTAGATTAGGCCTGCTTCCTAGTCTGTCTTAATCTAGGAGCTCTATTGAAACCTGTCCACAATGAATGACCCTTCTGGCATTTGACACCCAAATAGTAGAGCTTTCAGCATCACACAACCCACATGTTACCCTAGTAAAACAAACTGACAGACAAATGCTGTACTTAGAATATTAAATGATAAGCAAGCAATCATATACACAACTGAGCTATAAAATAATTAGCATATGGAAATCATTCCCCCAGTTTAACATACTGACAGATGAGTGTTGTACCTCTGTACAGCAAATCAGACAAATGAGTATCATGATGTGGGGTCCATCTGGGGTCTGTGTTGACTTTCACAGCAACTTATATTTGCAGCTATTTCATATGCACACTTTCTCATTTGATTATTATAACCACTTGTGGGTGGATGTAGCAGGATGTTTAGATTTGCAGTGTGTGTAACATAAAGATAATAAACAGGGGAGCTCTGGTGGCTTAGTGGCAAGAAGCTGCACTTCAATCCCAGAGGTTTGCAGTTCAAATCCACCAGATGTTCTGCTGGAGAAGGAGGGACAATCTCCTCCTGTACCAGTCAGATCCAATTTGATGGCACACATACACACACAGACACACAGACACAGACACACACACACACACACACACACACACACACACACACACACACTAATAAAAAAAGAAAATAAACAGCATCACATGAGGTCAGGCCAGTTTTAAGTGGGGACTTATGACCCCTGGTCTAATGATCTTTGCAATATTAACACCAAAAACACCCTCCAGTTGTTTTATATAACCCAAAATCTCCCTCAAGAGCAAGAATTTGACGTGCTGAACTTAGTTCAATTATTCCTCTAGAGGTGAAACCTCAGTGAATAAATATGTCAAATAGCTAAATTCCATTGGCCCGTGCTTTATTTATTTTTCTCACAGAACCTATTTTATTTTTTTAATGAAAGAAAAGAGGAAAACACACAAACACTTAACAAAAAACTGTTTATTAAACTATACCAATAGAACATTAGCTGACCCAATAATTACAGAATTATTCTTAAATGTGATGCTTCATGGTAGAACATAGTGCAAGACTGTTCCTTAGACAAACAGGCTCAGAAAACCAGTTCTCTTAGGATCTCTTACAGCTGGCATCATTTCAAAAACTCAAAGTGTGTCTGACTCATTAGAGCACGTGGACAAAGCCTGCCTCTAAGTTTCTCTTACCTCTGCCGCTCTCATTAACACCTGGAGCACAGTAGTTCATTAGAAGGCTCTAGTCAGAGAGTGGTGAGCAGAAATGAATATTGTCTTGGATCTCCTCCTGCTTCTGGTCACCATTATTTACTCTTACTTAGAGTCATTGGTGAAGCTCTTCATTCCCCAGAAGAGAAAATCTGTCTCCGGAGAAATCGTCCTCATTACTGGAGCTGGGCATGGGATTGGCAGGCTGACTGCATATGAATTTGCAAAAAGGAAAAGCAAACTGGTACTGTGGGACATTAATAAGGTAATGGATCCATCTCCTCATCTCTTTTGAATTTAAAAACTCAAAAACTTGGTTTTAAAAAAATTATCTCACCTAGAATCTGTTAATCTTTATATTTTTATTTTTCAAAATTTGATTTTTTTAAAAAAGCAAACAACAAACCATCCTAGAACGTTTTCCTATGTTTGAATCAGGTTAATTAGATGAAGGGAACACTACTGAGATCTACGTGGCAAATTAGATGCCATGGTATGCAGGTTGATAATGAAGGCTCAGAAGTCAACCTCCTCCCAAGATGTTTAAACTGAACAAGAAACCTAATTTCTTACTGCCTCTGGTAGCTCAGTGGTAAAGAGTTGTGCCATCGACCCAAAGTTTATACAGTTCAAATCTGACAGCTGCTTTTCAGGAGACCGACAGGCAATGTACTCCTTTTATGTAATTTACTGCCTCTGGATACCTGCTAAAAGGTCACCTACGAGTTGATTTCAACTCAACAGAACACAACAGCAACAGTTTCTTTATCTCTGAAATGGGAATGATAACTTACAATTTGGTGACAAAAACCTTTGTGCCTGCAATATTTACTCCCTGGTTCTTTACAGAAAAGGTTTGCCCTCCCTAGTAAAAAAACTAAAGGAATGAATATTATAAGTGTTTAGTACCTTGCACATGGTAAACATTACGTGTCTTAAGTAAACTCTAAATATAAGTTTCTCTTGGAAAATCATTTATCTATGCTTTTTTCTGTAAATATTAACAGCCCAAAATAAAACTAAAATGACTAAAACTGTATATAATTTCCCCTAAACTTATGAAATACTAGTAAAGCCATCGCTCATGAAAAAAAGAGTACACAAGTAACATATTTTTGAGACTGGAAAAATTGTATTGTTTTTTGTTTTGTTGAGAATCAAATTTCCCCCAAACAGTGGAATTTTAATTGCCATTTCATTGTTCCTCCACCTTCTTTTTATCACATCTACTTGACACCTACTTTCCTAGGGTCTCAAAAATGTCTCCTGATCTGAGAGAATGAATTCTTCTGTTTCTTTATGGGTATGAAAGACTATGACACCATTACTTGAAACACTTCTATTTGGCAGGAAAGTATATTTATTCTGTAGATGAGATTTGACATATGTGAAAATGATTTGGCATTGCTTTAGCTCCTGAAGAGAGGTTAATGATGACCAAAATATAAAAGCTGAGAAAATGAAAGTTTTCTGCGTATTCCAACAGCATAAATCAGTGTACATCCGTGAAAAAGGTTACCAGAAATAAGGGTAAGTATAAATAAGTACGGTCTTAGCAATGAATATTAAATGGGCGGCTAAAAAAACAAACAAATCTTTCTTGGAAGAAGTAAGTTTTTATGTGCCGTTGAGTTGACTATGACTCAAAAATGACCCTGTGGTGTTTGCTTCAGCAGTACAAATACTAAAATTGGAATGATACAGAGATTAGCATGGCCCCTGCACAAGGATGACACACAAATTCATGAAGTGTTCCATATTTTTTTAAGAAACCCAACAAAACGTGACCCTGTGAACAACAGATGTAAGCCTTGCCCTATCCTGCACCATCTTCATGATCCCCCAAGTCCTTGAGGCAATTATTACAGTCACTCTGTCAATCTATCTTGTTCAGGGTCTTCCTCTTTCTCTGATGTGCCACCTTTCCCAGCATGATGTCTTCTTTCTGACATTTGCTCAAAGAATGTGAGACCAAATTTCACCATGCTTCCCTATAAGGAGGAGCCTTGTTGCTATCCTTTAAGACAGGCTAGACTGTTCCTTTGGCAGTCCGTGAGATGTTCAGTATTCTTCGGTCATAATGTAAAGGCATCAGTTCTTTTTCTGTCATCTTTATTCATTGCCCATCTTTCAGATGCATAGAAAGCAATAGAAAAATCCATAGCTTGGATTAGGTGCACGTCAGTCTTTAAATTGGCATTGTTGCTCATTAGCACTTTGAGGATGTCCTTGACAGCAGATTTCCCCAATGCAACAACACATCTTTTGATTTCTTGACTGCTATTATCATGGGTGTTGATTGTGTATCCAAGTAAAGTGAAATAGTTGACAACTTCAATCTTTTACCCATCCATCATGATGTTGTCTATTAGTCCAGTCATATTAGTAGTCTATTTGTCTTCTTGATTTCGAGATGTAATCCATGTGGAAGGCTGTATCCTTTGATCTTTTTCAAGAAATGCTTCAAGTGCTTTTCACTTGCAGCAAACAATGCTGTGTCATCGGCATAAGCTAGTAGTTGATGAGTCTTCATCCAATCCTGATGCTACATGCAAGGGTGGTAAAACTTCATCTCACATGTTTAGGGCATGCCATCAGAAGGAACCAGTTTCTAGAAAAGTAGAGTGTTGGCAAAAAAAAGGAAGGAGATCCTCAAATAGGTAGATTGGTAGAGTGGCTGTAATAACAGGCATAGAAAAGATTATGAGGATGGCACAAGATGGGGGAGGACTTTGTTCTGTTGTAAATAAGGTCCCTAGGAGGTCAAGCTGAATCATTGGCACCTCATAACAACATAAGTAGACACATATGCATGGACAAAACCTTGAGATTTCTACTCACATATGTATTTTAGGGGAAAGAATGAGTATTACTACTTTTTACAAATTTTGTAATTTCCAGGGATGTCATTGTTGTTGTTGTTGTTAGGTGCCGTCGAGTATGACTCATAGTGATTTTATGAACAGACCGGAACTCTACCCTATTTTGTGCCTTCCTTACAGTCTCTGACACACTCCAGAAATTCCAGAGATGAGATAAAGTGACATTAGAGAGAAGTAATATTTAACAATAACTGAAATATGATTCTGCCAAACCTTATAAATTCTTGGAAGCCTTGAATTTTATGATTAAATATTTAAAGCCATAAATTATCCTCTCCAAAGCTATAAAATGTAACTTACATTTATCTTAGCCCAGGAAGGTGCCAACCTCCTTTTTCTTACAGCTGACTGCATTTGCTTTACCAGTTTAGAGTAGGTTTAGGAATTTGGCCTCCATTCTATCTAAATTGCTGAACAACACAGCGGTAAATGGAGTCAATAATGCACTTGAAACTGAAGCTAAAGCAAGCATTTTGCTAACAAAGAGACCAGTAGAATTTTTAATTCCTCAATGAACAAGTCTGATGAAAGCTCTGGTTACTAATACTCTCAACTGACCTTGAAATTAGAGACAGAAAAGAGCATATAGTAATTCTGGCAATCTGTCAGTGAACAAGCTACCAGATGAAGCCTCACTCAGTAAAAAGCCCTCTCTTGTCCTCTTCATTTTATTCAACTGCCTCGAAGGACTCTATCAGGGGCATTAATTCTGCAGCTAAGGATCCTAATTTGTGTTAGGCTTTGCTGTTTGAAATTTCAGATGGATGTTTCAGGGTTTTGGCCCATGAAAATGAAATACAAGGAATACCTTGGAGCAGTCAACATTCTTAGTTGCTAACAGGAAGACTAGGGGTTCAAGTTCACTCAGAGGTTCCTTAAAAGAAAAGTTTTGTGATCTACTTCGAAAAATGAATCATCGAAAACCTTATATTATAAAGTCTGTTCTGACATACTTGAAGTTGGAGTTGACTCTATGGCAATAGTTGGTCAGTGAAATGGCCCATGAAAGGGAGCGCCTACTAAGAGAAATGTTCTGACTGGGTCCAAATTCCACTGACACCACCAACATCCTAATATACAAAGGAAAGGTGTTTTAGGTATTCTGCTCTTTATTGCAGAGATTGGAGCTCTGGTGTCTCAGCCTGTTGGTAATTGAGGTTCTAACCGAAAGGCCATGCCTCTCTGGTGATTCAAATCCACCATGTGCTTTGTAGAAGAAAAATGGGCAAGCTCTTCCCGTGTGATTTACAGTCTCAGAAAACCTGCTGGAGGTTCAGCTACAAGTCAGTTCTGACTCGATGGCAAAGAGTTTGAGGTTTTGTTTGCTGCAAAGAAGAGCTTACAGGTTGTGACAGGGAAAGTATCAATTTAAAATGTTTTATTAAAGAAAAAACTCTTGCATTTTGGCTGGAGGTAATTTGCTTCTCTCTCGCTCCACATTTCAGAGTTATGTATGAAGTTATTACATAGATAGGAATCAATTCCAGTGTCCCTTGTTTTTGCTCCAGAACCAGAACACCTGAAGAATACACTATATTCCCAAAAATAGCCCATCAGTTTGTCATACTCTAGCAGTTTATGTGCCGCTGTGATAGAGAAGAGTATTGACCATTGCATGGACTGCCAAAAGAACAAGCAAGTCTATCCTGGAGGAAGTGCAACCAGGACGCCCCTTACAGGCAAGATTAGCCAAGCTTCATCTCACATACTTTGGGCTTCTTATCAGTAGTTACTAGTCTTTGAGAAAAGATGTCATGCTAGGAAAGGTAGAGTCAGCAAAAGAGACTAAGACTCTCAACCAGATGGTTTGACACCATGACTATAGCAATGGCATCAAGCATGGGGCGGATAATGGAGGCAGAGAAGGATAGGGCAAGGTTCTGCTCTATTGTCATAGGGTGACTGTAAGTCGTAGATGATGTGGTGGTACCTAACTCAGGATAGAGCAGAGTTCAGAGCTATTAGCTATGAGTAACAAGTGACTCTATGACACTTAACAACGACAACAAAGTGCTGCTCACAGAGCCTCCTGGCCTGGATAGCTGGCATACGTCTGGGTACTGCCACTCAGAAAGTACAAAGTATGTACGTAGGGAAATTGGACACGGTTAAAGAAGTAATTGAATGCATAAATATTGACATACTGAGCCTTGGCAAGCTGAGACAGACTGGCATGGGCCATTTTTAATCAGACAAACATATGGTCTACTATGCCTGAAATGAAAAATTAGGGAAAATGAGGCTGCATTCATAGTTAATGAGACCATTTCAACCCACCCTAACATACAATGTCGTTAGTTAAAGGATACTATCCATACCCATACAAGAAAGATCTGTTAATACCACTATCATTCAAATATATGCACCAACAACTAAAGTCAAAGAGAAGGAAATAGATAGCCACCAACTTTTGCAGTTTAAAAATGATCAAACATGCAACCAAGATTCATGAATAATACTAGGTGTGAGTCCTGCCCGGACTTGTCAGTTGGCCTGCCCTTCACCTGCCATTTCACCCTTCTCCGCTGTTAACCCCGGGATGTTTCCTGCACTTGGTGTAGGCAGCTCTTTGTCATCAGATGCGTCTGTCACACTTGGGCAAAGGGGGACTGTTCGTCCCTTAACTGTCCTGTATGACTCTTTGAACCCTTAAGCTCCTTTGCTTGTCCCACTGTCTGAGATTCTATATAGCACCTTTCCTAAGTGAGCCTCTACCACAGAAATTAATAAGCAAAGTTATAATTTTATTTACTCGTCATTCCTCACCTCATCCCACATTTTGGAAATGGAAACTTCGAGTAAGTTGGGTCCTTCACTATTTGTCTTTATATCCTTAGAGCTTCTCTTCTTTCAGAAATTAGCGAGAACTCAATATAAATAATCATAAATGCCACTGGCTAGCTGTGTGATCCTTAAAAAAAATAATAATAATAGGTGACGGGAACGCCAAAGTTGGGAACAAGGAAGAAGGAACAGTAGTTGGGAAATATAGGTTTGGTGACAGAAATGAAGCTAGACATAGAATGATAGAATTTTGTACAACCATTCATTTTTTCATTGCAAATACCTTTTATAAAAAATACAAATGGCAACTGTGGACATCACCTGATGCTTTACACATGAATCAGATTGACTACATCTGTGCAAAGAATAATTAGAGAAGTTCAATATCAGTTGTGAAAAGTAGGTCAAGTGATGACTGTGGACCAAACTATCAATTATTCATGGGCAAATTCAAATTGAGGTCTGAAAAAAAATTGTAACAAATTCAAAAGAATCAAAACATGACTTTAAGTCTACCTCACCTGTATGTAAAAACTATCTCAAGAGCAGGTTTAAGGCCTTGAACATTAATGAACAAATGACCTAAAAAGACCAGATCAGCTGGGAAGAAAACAAGAGATCATTACAGAGACAGGAGGAAGGCAAGACTAAAAAGGATGTCAGAAGAGATTGGATATTGCACAAGATTACCAAGAAGCCCAAACAAAGGGAAGAAATCAATACGTTAAAGAGTTGAACAGATTTCAAATGACAGCTCAGTGAAGACAGAACAAAGCATTTTAATGAAATATGCAAAGAGCTAGAGTCAGAAAATCTAAAGCGAAGAACTCGCTAGGCATTTCTCAAACTGAAGGGCCTGAAGAACAGATTTAAGCCTCAAGTTGCAATACTTAAAGATGCTATGGTCAAAATCTTGAATGATTGCGGAAGCATCAAAAGAAGATGGAAGGAATCCACTGAGTCACTGTACAGAAAAGAACTGGCTGATATAGAACCTGTTCAGGAAGTAGCATAAGAGCAAGAACCAGTGAAAATAAAGGAGGAAGTTCAAGCTGCTTGGAAGGAATTAGGGAAAAAAAGGGCTCAGAAATTGATGGAATGCCAACTGACATGTTTCAACAAACATGTGGCTCTGGATGTGCTCACCAGGCTGTGCCAAGAAATCTAGAGGACAACTACCTGGTCAACTGACTGGGAGAGATCCATATTTATTCCCATTCCCAAAAAGATGGTCCAACAGGATATGGAAATTATTAGATAATATCACTATCACATACAAGCAAAATATTGTTGAAGACTATCCAAAAGTGACCAGAACAGTACACTGACAGAGAACTGCCAAAATAAAAGCAGAGCGCTTAGAAGAGGCTGTGGCACTAGGGATATAATTGTTAATGTTAGAAAAACCTTGACTGAAAGCAGAGAGTACCAGAAAGATATCTATTGGTATTTTATCTACTATGCAAAGTGCCCCAGAGCACTTGATTGTTCTCATGTAAAACCTGTATCTAGACCAGGAAGCTGTTGTCCAAACAGAGCAAGGGAACAGTACATGATACAAAATCAGAAAAGAGTGGTCAAGAATGGATCCTTTCATCATACCTTTTCAATCTATATTTGAGAAGATGGACTTTATGAAGAAGAATGTGACATCAGAATTGAAGGAAGACTCGCCTGTGTTATATAGATAACACAATTTTGCTCACCAAAACTGCGGAGAACTTCAAGGACTACAGCCTTCAATGTGGCTTCCATCTCAACATCTAGAAAACAAATATCCTCACCACTGGGCCAATTGATAGTATTATAATAGGTGGAGAAAAGATTGCGGTTGTTAGCAATTTTATCTTGCTTGGAACCACCATCAACACTCTTGTCACCAGCAGTCAGAAAATCAGGATGAGTTGCATTGGGAAAATCTGCTGTCACAGACCTCTCCAGAGTGTTATAAAGCAATAGTACTAGTCTAGAGACTAAGGTGTACCTGATCCAGGCCATAGTCTTCTAAATTGTTTGCTATGTATCTGAGAGCTGAACAATGACTAAGAATGATAGAAGAAGAATTGATGCCTTTGAGTTGTGGAGCTGGAGAAGAGTACTGAGAGTACTCAGAGAACAAAAAGGTCTGTCCTCAAGAGGGTGAACTCAGGTAGCTCCTTGTGGGCAAGGATTTTGAAGTTTAGCTCACATACTTTGGACATATTGCCAGGAGGGACCACTCCTTGGAGAAGGGCATCATGTTTGGAAGGGTAAAGGGACAGCACAGAAGAGAAAGAAAAGACCCTGGTTGATATGGATTGACACAGTGACTGTGGCGATGGGGTCAGGTGTGTCAGAGATGGTGAGTCTGGCTCCGGATAGGTTCAAGGCCATTGTTCACAGCATGGCTATGAGTTGTAGTCAACTCGGCAGCATATAACAACAACTTAACAACTGGCTTACTGCTAGACAGTCAGTGTTCCATAAGTGTTTGTTAAATGAGTATTTTCCTTAATCATGCATCTCCCTCTATGAGATCACAATTAGGAACATTTGGCAAGAATATTCTTCTAATTGAGAATAACTGGTTTTAAAGAAATTTTTACTGGAGATCCTCCAAACCAAGATCAAAATCCAGAAGCAAACCAATAAGCAAAAGTGGAGGGGAGTTGTTTTTGTTTTGTTTTGTTTTTTAATGAAGGATGGCTGTTTAAACTACTTCAAAGCAAAGTGGAGACATGTGACCTAATGTGATCATTCCCAGGGAGAACTAAGCATAATTTCTTTGCAAATTTGCTTCTCTCAAGACATTTCTTTGTGAAGTAGGCATTTTGTGACATTAATTTTAAACTTTTTTTCTCTTATTAGGAAAATTTTCTTTTATGATTTGCATACAACATTTGTATACATTATGTTTCACCCTATCCTTCATCTACATTATGTTTCCTACAATCATTCCCATTTCTTGTGTTTTATAAAATTAATCAATATTGAACTATACCCACGTGTGTGTGTGTGTGTGTGTGTGTGTGTGTGTGTGTGTGCATGCCATCACATCAGATCTGACTGGTAGAGGAAGAGATAGTCCCTCCTTCTCCAGCAGAACTCTGGTGGATTTGAACGGCATACCTCTGAGATTGCACTGCAGCTTCTTGTCACTAGGCCACCAGAGCTCCCTGAACCATACCCACTATTACTGCATCTTTTCAGATCACCAACAGATCTTGCCCATTTCCTTTACTCCCTCCCTCTACCCACCAAACTGTGAGACCCCATGATTTCCCCCTTGCCTGTCCTCACCTCTCTGTGCCCAACCTTTATCCCTTTTAGTCCCATACACTTTTCACTAGCTGTCTTTCTATTTTTACAATAATGATCTTATGTAGTATTTGTCCTTACAGGACTGAGTTAGCTGACCCAGCATAATGCTCTCCAGTCTCTCCCAAGAGATATAGTAATTTGGGAAATATTTGTTCTTCAGTGGTGTGTAGTATTCCATCATGTGGATGTACCATAACTTCTCAACCCATTTGATTGTGGCTGGATATGTGGGATGTTTTCGTGTTTTTGCAATTGTAAATAATGCTGCTATGAGCATTGGAGTACAGATCTCTGTTTGTGCCCAAGTTCTAATTTCTTTGGGGTAGATTACCGGCAGTGAACGAGCTGGATCATATGGAATTTCTATTTTTTAGCTTTTTGAGGCAGCATCAAACTGTTTTCCAGAATGGTTGTAATATTTTGTATAGATTTGTTTCTCTCAAGACATTTCCTCGGGAAGTGAGCATTTTTGGCATGAAGTTTAATCTTTTAAAATGTTTATTCTCCAACACTTTCTCTCACACTGCTCTCTTTTCTGAATTTACCCTTTTCTGAATTTATTTTTTTTAATCACAGCGTGGTGTTGAAGAAACTGCAGCAGAATGTCGAAAACTAGGAACTGCGGTCCATACATATGTGGTAGACTGCAGTAACAGAGAAGGTATTTACAGTTCCATCAGCCAGGTGAGGCTTGCATATACTGCCACAGACATGGGAGAGGAAAAGATCTTTTGTTATTGCTTGACTTAAACTGTATTTTAGCTTCTACCATCGAGGTAGTTATCTAAAGATATGCTAATGTACTTTTCCATAGCATATAATCCATTTAATTCTGCCTTTTGTAATTGTTTCATATTATTAATCAATTTTACTCTGCTCAACAGTTTAAGCAATGTAATCCATTTAATTCTGCCTTTTGTAATTGTTTCATATTATTAATCAATTTTACTCTGCTCAACAGTTTAAGTAATGGCACAAACTGATGGAGAAAAGATTTACCACCATAGTAAATGTACCACTTTTGAAATCCAATTTCTTCTGCAGTATTTTTTTTTGTTCCCTTTAATTATTGTCTTTGTGATATTTAATCTAAGATCTCATACTTTGCACATCCTGCTAGGAGGTGCTATTCCTTGGAGAGGGACATGATGTTGGGAGGGGTGAAGGGTCGGTAAAAGAGAGGAAGACCCTCAAGCAATTGGGTTGACAATGTGACTGCTGCAATGGACTCTTGTGTGTCAGGAATTGTGAGGGTGGCACAGGATAGGACTAGGTTTAGATCTTTTGTTCATAGGGTCACTACGCATTGTATCCAACTCAATGACACCTAATACCATCAACAAGATTATAAAGAATCTACAACATTAATAATTTATGCAAAATACTTTAAAATTAGTGTATATCAAGTACTCACAATAAACCAAGGACTCTGATAAATCATTACATTTCATTGATTAAGCCACATATTAGCTTCATTTTAGGGATATGAGAACTGAAATCAAAGTTATTCATTGAACAATTTTAAATGTTTGGTTAGAATTTCTTATTCATGGATTGAAAGGCTTAATATAGTTAATATGTCAATACTATTCAAAGAAATAGTATCAATTCCATGCTATTTGCCATCAAAACTTCAATGACTCTCTGTGCAGAAATGCAAATCCTCAAATTTACATGAAATGGCAAGGGACCCCAAGTACCTAAAATTACATTGATGAAGAAAAGTAAAATAGGAAGACTCACAATTCTTGACTTAAAAATGAACTGTAAAGTTACAACAAAAAAATGCCTAGTACAGGTGTAAGAATAGATATATAAACTAATATAATAGAGTTGATACTCCTCAAAAATTTGGAGAGATCCCTAAATACAGACTTTCCCAATGCAATTATTGTTGTGTTGTTGTTGTTGTTACTTGTCTTTGAGTTGCTTGCTAATCTTAGAGACCCTATGTACAATTCTGAAGCCTGGCCTATCCTGAGCTAGTCTCACTGATTTCAACACACCCTCATTGCTCCAGTTACTGTATCAATCCATCTCATCTGGGGTTTTCCTTTCCTGTACTTTCCCCCCTCCCTTCTGAACATGATAGCCTTTTCCAAGGACTGGTCCCTCGTGGCCATGTACCCAAAGTATATGAAATGGAGCTTCAAAATCTTAACCTCCAAGGAGAAACTTGGTTTCACCCTCTCCAAGATAGACCTATTTATTTTCTTGACGGTCCATGGTATGTTCAAGACTTCTCCAGTACCACAACTCAAAGGCATTGATTCTTCTTCTGTCATCCTTAGTCATTGTCCAGCTCTTTGATGCATAGCAAGAAATTGTGAAAGACAATGACCTGGAACAGGTACACATTAGTCTATAGTCTGACATTGTTTCTTTTTTAGTATTCTGGAAAGTTCTCTAACAGAAGATTTTCCCAGTGCAATTCATCTTTTTATTTCCTGACTGCTGGTGCCAAAAGTGTTGACTGTAGAGCCAAGCAAGCTGTAATTATTAAAAACGTCAAATTTTCCTCCTTTCATCATGGTGTTGCCAATTGACCCAGTGGTGAGAATCTTTGTGTTCTTACTGTTGAGCTTGATCTTCTGCATCAAGTGCTTCAGGTCTTCCTAATTTTCAGCAAGCAAGGCTGTATCATCTGTATAATGTAGATTGTTGATGAGTCCTCCTCCAATCCTGATGCAACATTCCTCCTCAGAAATCCCAGTGTCACAAATACATCTCCTGGTTTCCTGACTGTGAGTACCAAAGGTGTTAATTGCGGATCCAAGTAAGACGAAACTTTTGACACCATGACATGGCCTATCATCTCTGTGGTTGGAATCATTGTTTTCTTGACATTAAGATGCAATCCATACTAAATAAAGGCTGTGTTCCCTGATCCTCTGTGACAAGTGCCTCAAGTTCTCCTCACTTTCAGCAAGCAAGATTGTCATCTCCATAAAACAGATTATTGAAGAGTCTCCCTCTGATCCTGATGCCACACTCCTCTTCATAGTGTTCAGCTTTTAGAATAATTTGCTCAGCACACAGATTAAAGAGGTATGAACAAAGAATATAACCCTTGACACACTCCTTTCTTAATTTTAAACCATGCAGTATTCCCTTGCTCTGTTCACACAACAGCCTCCTGGTCCGGGTATAAGTTTTGCATAAGCACAATTAAGTGCTCTGGGATTACCATTCTTTTCAATGTCAGTCACAATGTGTTATGGTCCACACAATGAAATGTGTTTGCATAGTCAATAAAGTACAAATAGACATTATTCTGGTATTCTTCACTTTCAGCCAGGATCCATTTGACATCTGTAACAATGTCCCTGGTGCATCTGATTCAAGCCATTGTCTTTCTGATCACTTGCTATGCATTTGAGATCTGGACAAGGAATAGGGATGACAAAAGAATTGAAGCCTTTAAGTTGTGGTGTTGGAGAAAAGCACTGAATATCCCAGGAATTGCCAAAAGAACTAATAAATATGTCTTGAAGAGCTTGCAGCCAGAGTGCTCTTAGGAGGCAAGGATGATGAGGCTTCATCTCACATAGTTTGGGGGGTGTTGCTAGGAGGGGCTACTCCTTAGAGAGGGACATGAAACTTGGAAAGGTAGAGGTTTGGTGAAGGAGAGAAAGACCCCCAACCAGGTGGATTGTCACGGTGATTGCTCAATGGGCTCTAGTATGTTATGAAGTGTAAAGATGGCGCAGGATAGGACAGGATTCAGATCCACTGTTCATAGGATCTCTACAAGTCATACTCGACTAGACAGCACCTAACAACAACAACAATAGAGTCGAAAGTTCCCAAATAAATCCATAATCAACTAGCTTTTGACAAGAGTGTTAATCCTGTTTAACGGCAGAATCTCTTCAATAAATGGTGTTAGAAAATGGAATTCCATGTGATGAAGAATAAAACATGATTTATACCTCATAGAATACACACATACACAGAGACACACAGACACACACACATCCAAAATAGATTAAGGACCTAAATGTAAAAACTAAGATAATAAAATAAAATATTGAAAAGACAGTGTAAGGGTTGTGGCAGAGATTGCCCATCTTTTCCTCTCACCACTGGTGGATTCAAACTGACAAAGGTACAGTTTTTCATTTCACAGCACAACTTCCTACAGAAAAGGCCACTAGAATTCTCTGTGTTTGGGGGGAAAAGCAGTAACACACATCAAACACGACCCCAAAAACTTCCCTTATGTGACAGCCATCAAGACATGACGGCCATCAGACGCTAGGAGCCAATTCATAGAGTGGAGTTTCCAGGCCAGCCCACAAAAGAGAAAATAATCTGAGTCTCATAAAAATGAGATACTTTTATACATTAAAGACTTAAATACTTTGGCCACATGGCCAGGAAAGACGAATCCTTGGAGAAAGACATCATGCTCGAAAGGGTGGAGAGACAACACAGGAGAGGAAGACTCCGGATAGGATGGATTGATACAGTAACTGGGGCAATGGGAGTTGATGTGTCAGAATTAGTGAGACTGACTCAGGGCAGGGAAGGCTTCAGAGCTGCTGTACATAGGGACGCTAAGAGTAGCAGTTAACTCGACAGCACATAACAACAACAACATCAAAGAGGGAGCTTTGGTGGCTTAGTGGTAGCGCTGCCAACCCAAAGGCCTATGGTTCAAATCCATTGGCTGCTCTGCAGGAGTTGTTGTTGTTGTTTGATGCCGTCGAGTCGTAGACAACTCATAGCGACCCTATGAACGAGCGGCCTGAGCACTGTTCGTACACAGAGTTTCCGGAGGCAAGCCATTTCGAAAGTGGATGCCGCTCCTGCTTCCACTCTACAGGAGAAAGTTGAACAATTTCCTCTCATGCCATTTACTGCCTCTGAAAACCTGCTGGAGGGTCAGCTATGAGTCTGTTCTGACTTGACAGTATAGAACAAACAATAACACACATCAAAAATCTTTATCAACAAACTTAAAAACAAACAACTTTGGGAGAAAATTTTCCCATGAATCAGATAAGACTCATCTGTGAATATTCATAAAACTTCTACAACTCAACAATTAAAAACCACACAATTGAAAAATGGATAAAGAATAAACAAACAGCTCACCAAAGAAACACATGGAAAAATGCACAGTATCATAAGAAACAAAAAGAGACCTGGAGAAATGGAAGAATACCCTTGCTCATGGATAGAAGACTCAATATGGTGAAAATGACAGTCCTACCAAAGGCAATCTATATGTTCAATGCAATCCCAATACAAATACCAATTTCATTCTTCAAAGAGATGGAAAAGGCCATCTCCAATTTCATTTGGAATAGAAAGAGACCCCAAATAAGCAAAGCGCTCCTTAAAAAGAGAAACAAGGTAGGAGGCATCTAACTCCCTGATTTCAAGTCCTACTACACTCCCTTGGTGGTCAAGAAAGCATAGTACTGGTACAATGACAGACACTTAGATCAATGCAATAGAATTGAGAACCCAGAAATCAGCCCATCAATTGGCAGCATCAGGATGGATGGTGAAGAGAATGAGATTGTTCACAGCTTTAGTTTGCTTGGCTCCACAGCCAACACTCTTGGCACCAGTAGCCAGGAAATTAAAAGACGTATTGCCATGGGAAAATCTTCTGTTAGGGACCTCTCCAGAGTACTGAAGAGCAATGGTGTCTCTCTGGAGACTAAGGTGTG